CAATCTGTATGCTGAGCAAGTAATCCAATGAGCTGGTCTATATGAAGAAGAATGCAGCATCAGGATTAGAGGAAGGCTCATTAACAACTTGTGATACGCAGATGACACAGCCTTGCTTGCTGTAAGTGAAGAGGACTTGAACAGTTACTGGTGAAATCGATGACTACAGTCTTCAGTGTGGATTATACCTCAACATAAAGAAAATGAAAATTCTCACAGCTGGACCAATGAGCAACAACATGATGAACAGAAAAAATACTGAATTTGTCAAGGATTTCATTTTACTTGGATCCACAATCAGAGCTCATTTTACTTGGACCCACAGAGCTCAGCAGCTGTCCAAAAATCAGATGATGTGTAGCACTGGGCAAATCTGCTGCAAAAGACTTCTGTAAAATGTTGAAGAGCAAAGATGTCATTTTGAAGACTAAGGTGTGCTTTCAACTCAGCTGTGGTATTTTCAACCGCCTCATGCATGCAAAAGCTGGACAGTGAATAAGGAGGATTGAAGAAGAATTGATGCATTTGAATTGTGGTATTGGCGAAGAGTACTGAAAATACTGTAGACTGCCAGAAGAACAAACAAATCTGTCTTGGAAGAAGTGCAGCCAGAATGTTCTTAGAAGTGAGAATGGCCAGACTTCATGGCAGGTATTTTGGTCATGTTGTCAGAGGGACCAGTCCCTAGAGAAGGATATCATGCTTGGTAAAGTAGAGGGTCAGTGGTAAAGGGGAGGACTCTCAGTGAGATGGCTGACACAGTGGCTGCACCGATGGGCTCAAGCATAGCCCAGATGGTGAGGTGGTGCCGGACTGGGCAGTGTTTGGTTCTGTTGTACGCAGTGTGGTTGTGAGTCGGAACTGACTCAAAGGCACCTAACAAAATACATGTATGTGAATATATATACCAAGCCAAACCAAACTCACTGCTGTCGAGTTGGATCCGACTCATAGCGACCCCTCCTTGGAAATATATATGTTTATATATACTTATAAAATAATACATATTTATATATACTTTTGAGTATACTTTATACATTTATATATAGTTATAAATACAAATATATTTATATATACCTGCAAGTATATATGGGAGCTCTGGTAGCGTAGTGCGTAAGGCTCTTGACTGCTAACCAGAAGGCTGGTGGTTCAAACCCACCAGCCACTCCCTGGGAGGAAGGTTGGGCAATCTACTTCCGTAGTGATACTGCCTTGGAAACCCAAGGAGGGGTTGCTATGGGTCAGATCTGACTCCATGGCAATGGTTGCCTTGTTGCGCTTTGCAAGTATATGTGGGAGCTCTGGTGATGTAGTGCTTAAGGCATTTGACCGCTAACCAGAAGGCTGGCATTTCAAACCCACCAGCCGCTCCTCGGAAGGAAGACTGGGCAATCTACTTCCATAGAGATACCACCTCAGAAGCCCAAGGAGGGGGTCTCTATGAGTCGGATTCATGTATGCAAATTTACTATATAAGACATAACTATTTTAAATTGGACTTGTGGATAATATAAGACATTATAAGACAAAGGTTCTGTACTTTAGGAATTATCTATATATTTGGGAATAAATCATAACATAATCATAAAAGGACAAATACTTCAAGGCAGGAAACAAAGAGCAAATGGAAAGTATAGATAATTATTATAGATAATTAATCTGGATTCCACTTCTTCCTTTACCTCCACCACCAAGAACTGTCAGTTCTGTTTCTAATATGGCTCAAATCTATCCTCTTCTTTCCATTGGCATCATCACGTCTCAAGTCCATCCAAGATCTAACCATGTCTCTCTGGATTCTACTATAGCCTCTAACTTATCCCTCTTTATTCACTCCTGTCCTTTTTCCATTCTCCACCCAGCAGACAAAGTGGTCTTTAAAAACTGAAATCAGTAAGTGGAGAAAGGGAGGGTATATGAGGTAGGATTTCAGAGATGGAGCAGCTCTTGAGAGGCAATGGGTTTAGGAGAAACAATCTGATAGACGTGGATTCAAATCCTGGCCATCAAATATCTACCTATATGACTTTGTGTATGTGATTTAACCTTTTTGAGCCACCTCATCCTGTAAAGTGGGTCAAATAAGCTCCACTAGATAGGGTTGCTGTGAGGAGTAAATCATCCATTAGGTCCTATGGGATGCGTGTGATAAACAGTAGCCAGTCACACCAGCATTTGATTTAGAATCTCAGGTGAGGGTGTGCATCAAAGTCAAATTTAGGGCTTTGTAGAAATTTGGATGCCAAGAACCCAATTCAGTGCTACTTCCCCAGAGCAGTTATCTCTGGGTAGAGGTGGGAGGTAGGACTTCAGCACGTGTGTTTTTAAAAAGCTCTCAGGTGACTCAGATGTACAGCTCTTATTTGGAACCGTTAGTTTAATCCAAACCATGCTAGAATTTTCTCTAAACATGTTTTGCCAAGGCCTGTCCAACTCTGAAATCCTACATGAAAATTCCTGGAGCCCTAGGTCCAGGCTGCCTACCACTGTGGTGTCTACGTGAGCCCTTGAAGCCTAGTCTCTAAAGAACTGGCCATTAATCTCTCGTCAGCTCATTGACTTTTGGTATTGTTGTTGTTGTTGTTGTTATGTGCCATTGAGTCGGACCCAACTTATAGTGACCCCTCCTTGGGTTTCCGAGGCAGTATCACTAGGGAAGTAGATTGTCCCATCTTCCTTCCGAGGAGTGGCTGGTGGGTTTGAACCGCCAGCCTTCTGGTTAGCAGTCAAGTGCCTTAGGCACTATGCTACCAGAGCTCCTTTGGTATTATTAGGACTATTTTGAAATTTTACAGTCTGAACCAAAGCCACCATGGTGCCCACTATTTTTTTTGCCGTATCCAAGGTGGAAGTCAGTCTGGTTGTTTTCTGTGTTTTCATCCCTTCAGTATCTGTGTTTTTTTGGACACTTTTCCAGTGTACAGCTTTAGAATTTTAGCTTCAAGGTACTTAAAACTACATAAAGCTATACCCTCAGCCTCTCCACTGATAGTCCCTCTATTTCCTCCTGTAACTGAAACCTGGCTTAAACTATAAGATGTTTTAGATATCAGCAATGACTAGGTAATCTTATGAAACATTAACTACCTGTTTGGTTGGTTGCTCATGTATATACACATATACTCATGTCTTGGAAAGTTTTGAGTCAATAAATATGTCTGAAGAGTTGGTGCTGGGAAAATATGATGATGGCTAAGGGGTGTTATGTCTAGTAAACATATATGCAAATGGAACAAAACTCTGAGCAAATGTAGGACTCAAGAAGTAGGGTTGGAGGATTTATGAAATGACCACCTTGTTCTAGTCCCATAACTGCTAATGACTTCGGTCTGCACTGAATAGAGAAATTTTTCATCTTAAAGCCAAGGGACTGGTCAGGGTTGGGCTGATGTATTGAGGTCGTTATAACTCCAAACAGATAAGACTGTTCTGGAAAACTCCCCTCAAGGAAATAATTCTTGAGCCCTGCAGTGGACCAAGCATCCATTGGGGGATTGAGACAAGTACGATTCCATTAAATCTACCAACTCTGCTTCTGAGACATTAAAGAGAAGCCCTCTATTTCTCAGTTTAAGAATGGATGAAGGGCTCCACCCAAATCACAGTAAAAAAAAAAAAAAAAAAAAAAAAGGATGGAAGATGGGGAGATGGGAACCAATTTGTACCGTATTCTTTATTTTTCATGCTTTATTGCAATAAGTGGACTTCTATTTTAAAACCTGTCTGTCAGGAGGGCTTAATTTTCTTGGCTCCTCACAGATTGTGGAGAAAATGAAAAAATCATAATGAATGCTGAAACTGATGTTTTTCTTTCTGTATTTAAGCATAACTGGGACTATTGGTTACATTTGGAGTCATTACTGCCATCTTAGTTTGTATTTATTGTGTTTTCTTGAATAAAATGATATCTTTGAGCTACCCCCTATTGTGTAATATGAGACATTTAGCATGCTTTACTTCTCTTCACCCATAAAATGCTCAGATTTTATTGAAATAATTTAGGGTTTTATTTTCAAATTATTACTTTTCTTACATGTGTAGCCTTTCTTTCTAAAGTCCTTTACTAATCCTTTGATCAAGCTCTACAATCATGTTTAAATGATTGTTACGGCTTTTCTGTACATCTTGCTGACTTCAATGCTTATGTGTTTCTTCTAAAGCCTATTTGCCCCTTTCTTAGGATATTTATTCCGATTCATTTTTTGTTACACAGGAGTTATTTTTGAGTCCCCCCACCCCACCCCAGAAAATATACATCATTGGATTTGTTTATTTAGTTTAAATTCTAGAATATCTGAAAATGATTTTATTTTGCTCTGATGTACAGTAGTTTGGCTGTGTCTTGAGGGGTAAGGACATAATTCTTCTTCAGAGAGCTCTCTGGAACCATATTCCATTGTGTCTGGAAGCCAGAGTTCCAAGCAAGAAATGTAATGTCAACTTTATAATTCCAGGTTCCTCTCTCTCTTTGCAACTGATTATTTTCTTCTTTGGAAGGTGCATATGAATTGAAAGTTTAGAAGATAAATATTTTCTCTAATAATTTGCCTTGAAAACCTCAGAGATTTATATTTTACTTAATCTTCAGTTGGCAGCAACTCCTGCAGTGGTATTATCACCTCATTGGGAGATAATGATCTGAAATACATAATGAAAGGTACTAGAAATTCTCAAGATTTAAAAGATCCCTGAAGTGGATCATTATGTAGATCAAGGAATTTGCTGTAATGTAAATAAGTTCATAATGTCACTATTCTCTAGATGCACATGTTTGTAAATTTTGTTGGAGTCACACATACCTGTTTTTATACTTCTGGACAATCTTATTTTATATTCCTGCAGTTGGAATCTTTGATGGGGTCAGTTTGTCTCTTTTTCCTTATCAGTAAACTCTGTCATTGTGAAATATTTATTTCTAAAGTGCTGATTATACTTTACTAGTAATCAGGGGGGGTCAAGGTTAGGGCTTATAACTTGTGCTGTGCTGTCTCCCATTGCAGAGATCAGCTGTGGCAGCCCTCCGGAAGTGCGGCATGCGGTCCTGGACAGGAATCACAGCTCCAGCCCGGGCAGTGTGGCTCACTATGCCTGTCAAGAGGGCTTTGAGAGCCCCGGAGGAAAGATCACTTCCGTGTGCACAGAGAAAGGCATCTGGAGAGAAAGTGATTTGACATGCACAGGTACATTCTGCTGGACCCTGTACCTGGGAGCAAGAAAGCCTGTGGGACATAGAACCGTTCATTTGCTGCCTCTCTTTTTGTACTGTGCCTAGCTGGGCCATGTACCTAGGTGGGTATGTGGCTTTATGTATATCAGATAAAAAAAGATTGAGAGATAGGATTGGGAAAACAAGTTGGATAGAAAATTTTATATGCATCTTTTGAAACTCCCCTTAAATCAGTGATTCTTGTCTCCTCTGCTTGGCTGGCTGACAAAGTTTTCTCCATGAGCAACTTTCTCAGGGGGCGTACTTGAAAGTCTTGAATTCCCACATGGACACAGCCTTTCAGAGAAAAGACAATATAATGAAAAGGAGTTTTGAGACTTTAGTTCAATTCTAGCGATGCCGTTTATGAGCTGTGTCTCTCTCAGCTGCAGTTTCCTCATCTATAAAAGGGGGGAAATAAAGTCTGCCTTTTCTACTACAAAGGGTTGTAGGGGCCATCAAATGAGATAATCCATGGGGAGGAGGGTACATTTTGAAAAGTATAAAGTGCTGTGCATGTATTAGGTCTTTTATGGACATCATTAGCCTCACTTGAAGAAGGTCTTCTCATGATTCAGAAACGTGCACATGGCTTCATTTCACACGTCTGCTTCCAGGAGGCAAAGTGTGAAAGGCAATAATTCCTACCATTAGTGATAGTTAGTTGGGTGTGTGTGTGTGACAAATGACTGTCACATAGTCCTGAATGTCTCCAGGAGTATATTTCTAGATGTTGACTTGTGTGGCTCTGATGGCGTATCTTGAAGAGTGAAATCTCAAGATAGCTTTGGTCTGGGTCTGTGGTTTGACTAGCAGCAGAATCGCAGTGAAACATTGCTGGTCTTGCCAACCAAAGTTATTCTTAGGAAAATCTGGCCAGAGCAAGCAAAACGTAGACTTCTGATGATTTATTTATTAGAGCAATGGTTCATAACCATTTTGGGGATGGGAATTTGATGAAAACTGTTCATTCTTTCAATGCATATTTATTTAGATTATACTATGTAGGGAGCTCTGGTGGCATAGTGCCTAAGGCATTTGACTGCTAACCAGAAGGTTGGTGGTTCAATCCCACCAGCCACTTCTCAGAAGACTGGGCAATCTACTTACATAAGAGATACTGCCTTGGAAACCCAAGGAGGGGTTACTATGAGTTGGAATCGACTCAATAGCAGTGAGTTTGGCTTTTTGGTTATGTACAAGAGGAGCCCCTGTGTGGTCCAAATACTTGACACCCTTGATTGCTGCCGAAAGGTTGGTGGTTTGAGTCTATCCAAAGGCACCTCAGAAGAAAGGCCTGGTGATCTATTCCCCCTGCCCCCCAAAAAATCAACCGTTATAAACTGTCTACTGACACACATGGTATTGCCATGAGTCAGAATTGATTCCACGGTAGTTGGCTTTTGGTTTTATCTACAAGGTTTTATTTGCCAGGCACTGCCTTCTTGAAGGTTATCATGCAACAGGGGAAACAGGCCCTTTCCCCAAAGAAATGCACATACATATAATATTTTACAAACAACTTCAGGATCTTTGTGGACCTCTGAAGTCCTTGGACAAAGTATCCCTGGAGCTCTGCTGCTGAGGCTCTGTCTGTGCCACAAAATTCCCACCTAAGTTCATCTCCACCACAGATGCAAGAGATCATAGGGTAGAGAGTGCAATCACAGAAACAAAGATGCATAGACCTGGTGAGAATCCAGAGACCTGGGTCAACCTTCCCATAGAGATTTTGCCCAAGACTTTCCCGACTTGCACAGAGAAGCAAGGACAAACATACAGCTAATACCAGAGAAGACTCTCGGGTCTCACTCTTAATTGTTGGGGAAATGGAGAAAAGCTAATACCATATAGGGCCAGACTGATAGTCAGTACAACCTATTATTACATCTTTAATAGCATCTCTAAGAATTATTGGAGGAGCTCTGGTAGCATAGTGCCTAAGGCACTTGACTGCTAACCAGAAGGCTGGCGGTTCAAACCCACCAGCCACTCCTCGGAAGGAAGGTTGGGCAATCCTACTTCTGTAGTGATACTGCCTCAGAAACCCAAGGAGGGGTTGCTATGAGTCGGGGCTGACTCGACGGCACATAACAACAACAACAAGAGTTATTGGGAGGAAGTGAGGCAGCTGTTCAGGATGCTAAATTCAAAAGTTTGGGGAGGTCTTTGTGGCCCACGAGTAGCTATGGAGTCACTTGTGAGAGACTGGGCATAGCTTCTGGACCCTCAGCCATTTGCTTCATCCCTCAGGCTGTTCTGCCTCCACTGTTCAGAATTCAGTGGGGGTACAGGGATTAGTCACTACCTGAAAAACCAGTGGATCTGCATGGAGCATAGTAAGCTATTAATTAGCTGATGCTTGTAGAGCACTTTGAAGAACAAACATGTTATGTAACTGCTAATTATAATTACCGTCCTCAGCCTGCCACCTTTCACGAAGTCTGTGGCTCCAGCTGCAGCTGCTGCCCTGGGTTTGTGCAAGATCTTTGATTTAAGGGAAGGAAAGGCATTGGCTTTGAGAGCTGTGATCTTTCTATGAGGAGGCCTGCATGCATGCCGTCCATCCAGATTGGCAGCTGAATTCAATTTCCGCAGCTAAAAGGGTGATTTACATGCTGATTAATTCGTAGTGCAGTGAAGGTGATCTCGGGGTGGGTCGGAAGGAAGGGCATTTGGAAATGCAGAGAGACGCTCACCCAGAGGGTTCCTGCTCAGCTGTACCTCTTCTTTCTTCTTTCTTCTCAGTTTTCCGCCCATTTCTTCCTTCTGTCTTCTAATCCAGCCTGACCTGTGTAGTCTGGATTTATCTTCCTCAGATACTCATTTTGGGTCCCCCCTTGCCATCTTTTATTTACTGCGTGTTCTTTGAATGCCTTCTACCTCTGTTCTGTGTTTTCACTCTGTTTACCCCTCTGTCTGTCCTTGACGGTTTAGTGCCAACATGAATGAAATAGTGTATCTTCACTTTACCTAGATTGGGTTTGGTTACCTTACAAATATTTCCGGAGACCCTATTACACTGGATTAGTAGCACAGATCTCTGTATGTTTTTAATGGAGGGGGAATGCCAGCAAGGTGGGGGGTCTTTCCCCCCCCCCCCTTAAGGCCAGCTTGGACTGGAAATTCCAGACAGCTGGGAATTAGGCAAGTGCTTTAGTGTCTGGAAAAACCCTGGTTGGAAGTTCGGTGTTGTTTAGTGAGTTGGTTTACCTCAAGATCAAAGAGGCTGATTCATTCTTGATAAGACTGTCCCTGGCTTTCATTCTGCACAGGCCATTTGGCTTTTATGTTTAGAATCTGAGTTAATAATTATAAGGTTGACGCTCACAAGCTCTTCGGAGGGTAACATCTCTACTGGAACACTGTTGATCAGCCAGGATCCTTTCTGTGCCCTGTGACCTGACCCAGGGACTGCTCCAAATGCCTCCAGGGCTCCTGTGAGTCTCTGGCACGTGTTTTGTGTTGACCTCCCTCTTCAGCCCAAAAGGTGGTCATTTGCAGCCATGCACATTTCAGATGGGACAGAAAGGTCAGCCGGAATCAATGGACATCTTTATATAGATAGCCACATGGGCCGTGCATTTCTGAATATGTATATACGTTTTGGACCGTCAAGATTTATAGCTGCCGCTAATTGAGCTTTAATGTGTGTGCCCAGGACTCTGCTGGGACCTTAATGCTTGATTTCATTCAGTCCTCAGAAAAACCCTGTGCAGTAAGTATTGTTATTTCCATTTCATAGTTGAATAAGATGAGACTCATAAAGGTTAAGCTACTTTCACAAGGTCATTCAGGGACTAGCAAATGGCAGAGCAAGGATTTGAACTCAGAGCACTAAGTCCCCAAAGCCCACACTCTCTCTACCATACCATTGCTCCCCAAGTTTGAATTATTTGTACACAAGTGATTTTTGCCATCTCTATCATACATACTATTATTTATTTAATGCCTTCTTTAAAACTACTTGTATTTTAACTTAAATTTGTAATTGAAATTTATTAATCAAAGAAACTTTGTAATATGTGTTATACATGGAATTTAATGAACTAGGTGTATTTTTTTCTAATATACACAAACATCAATACATAGTAAACATATGAAAATTTATTCATGTACCACTAAAATCATCCTAAAGTGTGTAATGCATTGCAGGAAAGTGCTCCTTTAGGCTGTACTATTTCTACCTATTTGATGTGACTCTAAATTAAGACTTAAAAAAGAAAGAAAGGAGACATACAGAACTCTTACAGCCCAATATGCATTTATCCAAATGTTCACAGTGGGGAAACACCTTGATTTCAGTGATGCTGCCATATTCAAAATGGGTTTGTTTTGGAATCCCCCTTACAGAGTCCCCTTTAGAGGTAGTTAATGAGTTGCCTTAGAGGATCATTTGCATTACTTTTGAAATCTGATGCTGTTTTTAGCTAGAAATGATATTGAGCTTCACCAGCTGTTTGAGTCGTCTGAATTTATTCTTATGCCTTTTTACTGACCGGTCTCTGGCCTTGCACAACGCAACTTCTGGAGCAGCAGTGAGTACTCAG